TAAGAGGTTCTGATAGGAGGAAACAACTTAAAGTGACTAAAAAACTCATGGAGAAGTGCTACAATAAAGGTATTGTAATTCTCNATGAATATTTATGGCCCGTGTGATGGCAAGTGTATGGCTTATCCACAGACCGGGATGCCGACTCCTTTGTCGCTTTTAAACCGACTTTCTAGGCCCGCTCTGCCACGATGAGGCAACATTGCCAAAATTGAAAGAAATCTCAAGAATCTCACCTCGCCTGGGGAATTCGGACATCGGGAGAAATTCATTCTTCAGTATGAATGCGCATACTACGCATACTATGAACGTCAAAACAGAAATAACAAGCCTGAAATACTACAGAAGTTTAAAGATACCATTTTTGTTAATTGAACTGTTACGCACCGCATAGGGCCGACGTGGTACTCACGACCTATTTCCTTTCGCAATTTCCTTAAAAAACATTATTTTTTTCAGGAAAAAAATCTGGAAACATTGAAATAAGCGGATCTTGGTTCTATAAGTTGTGAACTTATTAGTATCATAGCATCACCGCGTCTACGACTACTTGCTCAGACATTTTAGAGCGCATTTAAAAAAAGGCATAATTAAAGATAAGAATGGTTTCAGAATTTCTAATTGGGACGATCCTGTGGCCTCTAGGTGTGTCAGTTGTCACTGCCTAGTGTAAAGCGATTCAGAAACGGTGCAGTGAGGGTACAAAGGCTGGCTTGTCTACGTCCACACCCAAAGGTGCATGAATTGTAACGGTGCTATAAGGCCTACACAACCCACAAACGAGCAGTTGCACATGTTGAAAATTCAGACTAGTCATGACTCATGACGACTAGAAGCCAGCTATTTCCGCAATTGCAACCACCGAAAGCTCGTCCAGAGACCGTCTCTAAGCGATTCCGGTCACGAAGAACTCGTACACCCCCGCCACCCCTTCCCCTTATATCACCACCTCTTGGAAAGATGGGCGGATTCTGCGGAATTCTTTGCTTCCTTCGCCATTCAATGCTCCAGTTTATACGAAATGTCACGAAAATAATAGGGATTGTAATTGAGGATATTTAGCGCATATCAGTTGTACTTTTACAAACGCATCAGTACCTGTGAGTTGGCTCAGCACTGAAAGCTCACCCTTATGGGCCATATGACCCTGAAGGTCCATTGAGACCACGCTCAGGACATTAGCTAAGGTTGACTGAGATCGTACTATTTGAAGAGTTGCTGGCGTAGTAATTAAAGTAACAGATGCATAATAGTTACTGATCGCTCCATGAGCTGAAACGTAACCTGTCGTGCCCTAATCTTGCTCTTAGCTAGCTATCTGCGATAGAACAACGTCGTTGTATTCACTGAATGTAACTGAGCGCTGGTTTCAGGGAGAAACTCAGATGTTCAGAAGGAATTAGGCAACAAGGTATGTGCTTGGGGAGCTTGAGAACTCTTTTACTCATATCAAACTTTTTAAATCAGTCATCCGAATTTTCGGAATCCGATCCTTTGTCTTCACTATCACATCCTCAATTAGGTCCCGGTAGAGGTAATGCTAAGCTCACCAATTCATATAGATGTTTTTGGGGTCACTGGAAGCTACATTCTTCCACTCCTCCGGAGTGATCAAGTAGCGCCAGACTTTTGCGGGAGATACAATTGTTTCTATGAAAATGGGCATTTTTCTACTCAATGAATAACTCATATGCAGCACCACTACTAGTCTAGGTGGAATGAGACCCGGGTACTTTCCAAAAAAGGATTACTTAAGCCAAGAGCTTTAAGGTAGGCCCAACGATTCACTATAGTTACTATCCTAACTCTCCAGCTTCCACTCATTTGGGTCTAAACCTTCAGTCAAGAGGATGCATGAGAGAAATGCAGGCCTTCAGGAAGGATGATGACTGACTTTTGTTGTTGTGAAGTGCTGTGACGATCGTCGAAGAAAGATTTGATGATAACAGTCTGTTATTCAGTGTTTGCCACCCTTCAACGTCGGTCATCAGTCATTAAATCTGACTCACGCTTCGAATTGATGTGGATTCGGAGGAGGTGAAAGAGTTGTTGACGTTGTCATAACTGTTGTTGGAGGTTCCGTTGCCACGGTTTCTTCAAGATCCGGATCATATTCAGCCCAATCTGAAGGTGGAATGAAGTTGAAGGCATTGAAATCGGTAAAAGTATCAATAATTGACTGAACCATCTGGAGATCCAACATTGAAATTCAGTTCCACCTCAGGGCCATAGCCTTTCGATGTGGAGGCGCTTATGAACACCTGAACGAATTTTACAGTGAACTATCATAAAGAAACTTATCTCCGTACACAGAAAACAGTTTTTGTTTTTCTAAAATTACCTGATATCTTGTATGATGTGAGTATGCTTTTAAATAGTAAGAGGTACCACATTGTTCCACCGAAAAAATGTCAAACGGCGATCTCGCGAATTTCCAGCGAATCTGTAAGAGGTTCTGATAGGAGGAAACAACTTAAAGTGACTCATGGAGAAGTGCTACAATAAAGGTATTGCAATTCTCAGAAATTCTGGCAGGAGAGGTGGTGTAGTGCCAAGCGGCACACTATCTCATCCATAGCCCGGCGATCGCATTCTGGATCGATATCCTAGGCTAATCAGACATTCCATCCTTCCGGGGGCGATTAATTGGTGCCAGGCTTGTCTAGGAGGAAAAAAAGATTGACTTGTACATCGGCTGGTCAGTTCAAGTTGTTGTCTAGGCCATACACGCATTCAAACGCTACTACGATTCTGGATGTGAACGGGGAGGGGCGCATACCACAAATGGTTGTGAAGACAGTATATGATAGTCTCTCTAGTTCAGTTAGACAACTGGTGATTCCATAAAGGATAAAGGGTGAAATCTTNAAGCGTTGATCAAGACCGTCTGAGGGATGCGCCCCCGCACTCGACTTCCATTCAGAATCGCAGTGGCGTAATGAGTGCGTATGTGGCCCATACAATGACACGCGGTGCCCAGCCGATATACAAGCCAGGGTTTTTATCCTCCTAAACGAGTCTGGCATCAACTAACCGGCACTGAAAGGATGGAAGGCTCGGTTAGCCTAGGCGGATGTCGACCCAGTACTCGAACCATGACCAAGCGTGTGTGATAGTGCGCCACTTGCCACCACACCAACTCCGCCCTTCCCACAGTCGAAGGAAGAGTCGAAATTTATAGAGAACCTTGTATTCTTTCAAGTAACCAGTCTTTTTTATGGGCTCATTCCATCTGATGAAGAAAACAGCGTACTGCTCCTATAAAACAATAGATGCTAATTTGATTGGTCCTTTGCTCAAAATACCATAGGTGCTTGTCATTGCCCTAATACAGACTATTGAAAACGCATTTAGACAAGCAACCCAGCAAAAAAATATAAGTCTATAGATGAATAAAAACCAGGAGATGGGCAGTAGGATCGGTTTTGTGTAATCGATTCGCCGCGCGCGGCAGCCGCGGACCATTGGCCTCGTTGTAGCAGTTCTAGCGCTCTTCATACAGCTCAATCGATTCCTTTTTTTGGCATGATTCTTATGTTAGTTCTTTTGTTTCTTATTTCTTACTTGCTGCTGCGTTCTACTACATTCCTTCGCGCGCGGCGTCTCCCTAGTCGCGACGCGGCACTTTCGATCCTACTGCACCACGCTTATAAAAGTCTATTCGTATTTTTGTAGAACCCGTCATGAAGGAACTTGAATACATTTCCGATTGTTCCATTCGTTAGAGTCACCAAAACAAAATGCCCCTTCCCCTCCAATTCCGATTAGGAAAAAGAATTGGACTACCGTTGACTCTTCTAGCAATAGCTGAATTGTAGCATTGGTGACTTTGTCTGGTATGCCTTCTTCTGTATAGAATAGAACCCTTTCAGTTTTACCCCTTACGGATAAGTCTTCCATCAGAACGAATTCCAAATGGAAGAAATACAAATCTGAAAATTTCTGAGCTTCATTTCCGAGAAAACTTTATTATGTCGTAACAAAAGCTTACGGTATTACCGAATCTATCGAGCTCCACTGCCATCGGAAACGATTTATCACGTGATGTAAATGAAATTCTTCTAGGGCTCTCTTGGGATTCCGAATCGATGAGGAGCTAAATGGAGACATATTTCTGCCCTCTGGCTAGTTTCCTATTCATCATAATCAGGAACTCATCCACAATGAAGAATTTCGCGACGGGAACTATGCTCATACAGTAACCTTACCGTAAACTCAAATGAAACAGGCGCAGAACTTTACGAATAACATATTCCAATCTAGGACATGATGCCTTTTCAGAAACGCCCACAGCATTAAAACTATCAAATATGTAGCATTATATTACCGTTTGGAACACATCCTCACTGTGAAATTCTAAGATAAGAACACTGGCTGTCTTACAGTAACCTTACCGTGAGCTAAAATGCAATCGACGAGGAACTCTATAATTAATATATTTCAATCTACGACATAATCCCATTTCAATACACATATCCTAACCCTGCCACATATACGAAGTACTAAAAAAGGTCATGGACAA